CTCTGACCCTCCCCCTCTCGTGCTGTCTCTCTTATCCTCTCTCTCTCTCTCTCTCAAATAAATAAATAAAATCTTAAAAAAAAAAAGAGTATCTGGCTCTGAAGCATGGTTTCTCAACTTTGGCACTATTGGCATTTTGGACTAAATAATTCTTCGTTGTGAAGATCGGTCTGTCCTGAGCATTGTAGGATATTGATACAGAAACATAGTGGTAGAAATAAATACTTATAAATATTGTATGTGTGTACATACAGATGTATAAATATGTATATTCATACATTCTTTCTATACAGGTGTTCATTCACAGACACAGTCATAGGATTCCTTGAGAAATAGGTTCTGAGACTCTCAGATTTGATTGCAGGAGGTTTGGGTGGGAAGAGGGGAGGAGGGTCAGGGTTCCTGAGAAACTTACCTGTGAGGGAACAAGGGAAACAGGATGGGTCAGAGGGGGAACTGAACTGCAGTGCAAATTCACTGTTGAGACAGGCCTCAACAATTCTGTGGGGAGCTCTGGATGCCCCTTCCACCTGTCCTGATGGATACAACAGCGCCTGGTCTTTCTCCACTCTCCACAGACCAATCACCAGACATGGGATATCCCCAAGGAGTGCATCCTAGAGCAAGGTGGCTCTCCCTGAGACAAGGCTGAGGACAATTCCAGGGAGAGGACTGAGCACAACAGCCACCAACATTCATTCCCATACCTGGGGACCAAATGTCCTCTCTGCCCTGAAGTGGCAATCTGGGTGATTGCCTCTACAGATACATATAAGAGTATTTTTATTGTTTAATTGTAACTCGCTTAAAATATATAAGCATGTGGACCACAACTGGAAAGTAATAAGCAAATGAAAACAGGAGCACTATGAATAATGATTATTTTTCTTTTTCAAAGTTAAATACAAGGATGTTGCCATCATACCGGTCTTACCCTTTAAAAGAAGTGCTGAGATCTCAAAAAATACAATTCATAGCTTTAAAAACGTCATATATTATACATTCATATGGCTATAATGATTCCCAAGCCAGTTTAGCTGCTGTATGCAGGGATCTTCTAAGCACCTTGATGTGTGCTAACTTACTAAATCTTCTCAATAACCCTAAGGTAGGAAGTTCTGTTAACAATTTAACAGAGAAGGAAATTGGGTTTTCTAAAAGGTTAAGACATGCAAGATCTACCTATCTGGTAAGTGATAGAACCCAGGCTTGAACCTACGCACTAGGACTCTGAAGTCCTTCCAACCCGGCTTTACCCGCTTTTCACACGGTACCCCTGACATCCCCTTGCAATGGCAGTAACTTGTCTTCTTGTTTTTCATTTCTTCTTTAAAAAACAAAGAAACGGCAGAGTAATAAAGCTATCACTGTAAGACTATGCCAAAGGACAAAAAAAAATTGCCTTCAAATTCCCCATTTGAAAGTCTTTTGAGATATGTCTTTTAGATGCCAGTGGAGATTGTAAGAGTAAAGTTATATTATTTTCCTTTAAAGAATCAAGTCTCTCTTCTGCTCTCAACACAAAACAGGAAGCTTTACAAATAACCTGTTTGAAGAATGATTCTCTCAGAGTCGAGGCTTTATGCTCTCAAGAGACTGAGAACTAATCTGTCAGGAACTCAGAGGGAACTGCCTTCAAGCTAATCACTAGGGACCATTTCTCATCCTCTGGGGTGCTATGGAAAATTCAACTCAAATTCATTAGCAATCTGAAAGCTAATTATTTCACCAAAAGATCTTAGTGAATTTCTATATTAAAAATTCCCAGCTGGGACACCTGGGTGGTTCAGTTGGTTAAGCACCCGACTCTTGATTTTGGCTCAGGTTCTGATCTTAGGGTTGTGAGATCGAACCCCGCGTGGGGCTCCACGCTCAGCTCAGTGTCTGCTTGAGATTTTCTCTCTCCCTCTGCCCCACCCCCGCAAACACCCCCTCCAAAACAAACAAATAAATAAATAAATAAATAAGTCTTAAAAAAAAATTCCGAACCTCAAAAATGGTCCTTTTCTTCCCAGAATGGCCAATGGCCTTTATAACACCCAAGCCCTTTAGAACCTTTCTCCCACTGGAACGCGTATTGTACATGCCATGTGAACAAGGCCTCCAAAAGGGGCACAGGTTGGTCATCACAATGGATACTTTATTTGAAATGGAATGCATTTTGAAAATATGAAAAATAAATCACATCTCTCCAAAATCATTTGAGACATATTTACACAAATTATGACCACACTATTAAGTTCACAAATGTGACATTCTCTAAAGCATTTGGTACCTGGTGATGCTTGGTTTTCAGAAGCCGACATTTGCATATTCTAAAACTAAGCAGAAGACTGACGGTGGAATGTAATGGACAATAGTTTTATCTTTCTTCTCAAAATAAATACAGTGATCCAGAAGGACCACCTATTATTAAACCTTCCCCAATGCCTAACTGATCACCAACAGGTCACTTTAGAGCAGGTTGCCGTAGGTCTCACCAGCTTTTATGCAGATGCTTCCAGAGTCCTTCAGCTGCCTTCACTGGACAATTGTGCCCTGCCAGGAAAACCCTGCTGGATTCTATCCTCCATTTGGCAAATGTCCAGCCAACAAAGTCACAGACCCCTTTGTCATCCAATCTTCTGTAAATCTAGATTGGCTGTTCAACACTGCAGATCAAAAAGTCACCCTTCGAATTATGTCAAGAATTTAGAAAACAGATCTTTAAAACCCATTCAACAGAATTCCACAATTAATATATCTTAGGTTGCTTTAGGTAAACATGTATATTTCTCTTGAAAGAATGGCTGATATACTCAATATCAAGCTCTATAATCCCAAGTTTAAATTTCAGGCTGTGGCTGAGGGCAGTTTATTGGTAAAGCAAAAGCAAATTAGCTTGACATTTGCAAAAGAGAAGAAGGAATACTCCCAGGCCCATTTTCACCTACAAAGCTCTGAGCTCCATGGGATTGTTCCCATCTCACTCAAGTCTCAAAACCTCTCCTCGGCCTGCCCCTGCCCAGGACACTGCAAATGACTGGAGCCCAACGAAAACCGAGTCGCTTTCCCTGGGGACAGAAAACAAGCAATGTGCTTGAACTCACACACTGGCAACAAACTCGTGTAGTGTCAGATTTAAAGTGAGGGGCCTTTAAGAGAAACCGAGTGTTGGTGTATGCGAGCAGGAAAGAGTCAAAGCAAGCATTCCTCGTGGTGTTCACATGGGAAGGGAGCTCCTTTAAGCAATGAGTTGCTTTTTGGTTTTTGTTTTAACCTCCATCGGAAAAAAACACTTTAAGTGAAATTATAAAGTCGGGTTGATTTCTACATGATGAGAGAATCCGTTTCTTCTATGACGGAAACGCTCACTTTGAAAGGGCCCTTTATAGCCATTTACTCTCTGACCTCAGCACTCCCTGTAGGGCACACGCAGATCCATGTGCATTTCTGCTAAGAAAGTCTGTCTAAGGAGCTTCGTCATGAGGCTTAGCCTGCCCCGTGGTACTTGTTCTCAGGAACGACATGAAAGCCAGTGAAGGAAGCACTGTGTGAGGCAAGAGAAAGCACCTCCTGGATACTGGGAGCTACATATTTTTTCTTCTTTCATTCATTTGTCCCAACAAATAGTGATTGAGCTCACTGTGTCCAAGGCTTGGTGTCAACACAAGTTCAAGGACAAAAGCTGTTTCCAGATGGGGACATTCCTTTTCATGTCTTCTTCCATTCCTTTTCCAACTCTTTACATTGTGTTTATTTAAGGGGTGCATTTTCTATTGGACCTGTCCTTTCCTTTTTCCTTTTCTTGGACTGAAAGAATCATTTTTACCTTTTTCCATGATTTGTCAGGCCTCAAAATACCTTAGGTGGTTTGTATCATTTTCTTACAGAATATGGTAGAATTTGGGCATTGACACATTAAATGATTTGCATTTATATTTTGTTTTGTTGAGTTTGCAAAAAGTAAGCATGCTTTTTGTTGTTGCTGTCCTGAAAAAATGATTCAGCCATAATCATTTCAAAGTGTCAAACAACAAAAAACATCCTATTTCTCTCCTTTCTAATTTCTGAGGTTTCACAGGTAAATGCTAAGAGGGGTTCAGACTAGAGAGCCACTAAGAGGGTCAACTCAATGTAAATATCACAGCAGACCAAGAAATAAGGGCTGTGGAAAGACAAGACAAGGTAACCATGATTCTGGTGGCCCCAATAACAACCACAGCCATGGGGGGGTGGGGGCAGGAAAAAAATTTCCAGCAGCCAGGAGGGAGCCTGGGCAAATTTTTTTGAACAACACTACCTAGCCTATATGTCAGCTAACAACATACAAATATCTTTTAAAAGCCCACATGAATCTTCATTTTAAAAATATTTGGTATGGGCGCCTGGGTGGCTCAGTCGTTAAGTGTCTGCCTTTGGCTCAGGTCATGATCCCAGGGTCCTGGCATCGAGCCCCACATTGGGCTCCCTGCCTGGCGGGAAGCCTGCTTCTCCCTCCCCCACTCCCCCTGCTTGTGTTCCCTCTCTCACAGTCTCTCTGTCAAATAAATAAACAAAATCTTAAAAAAAAAAATTTTGGTATGGATTTTACTTTTATAGCACAAAAACTTGAAAGAAAAAACTATGGTTTAATCAGAGAAGATCATGTTATGATCTGCATTTTTAAAACAACAATACAATGAGACATTATCAAAAAAGCACAGCAGTAGTCTCAAGAGAGGCCAAACCATACTTCAGAACTCTTCAGCTTTGCTGTCGGAACTGCCCATCATATATACATATATGTGTGTGTGTATATATATGCTTCTGCCCTTTGCAGCATATTTTCATAGCTGTGTCTTAGCCACTGGAAGTGGGAGTCCCTTAAGTTTTTCTTGCCATTTGCCTGAGTTTTCGTTTTTCCCCACAACTTTACGGATTAGGGTTGTGATCTCAAAATTTCGTCATTTAAATATTGCACTAAGAAGTAATTAGATCTAAATTCCTTTCTAGGTGGAAGGAGAATAAAGACATCTCTAGCATGAAATTCTATTTTTGTTTCTGTACTACCTAACTTAGCAATAGCCTAATCCTGACCATTCCCATTTGGATGCTGGAAAAATACTATCAAGACTTTGTGGGAAAGAGAATGGAAAACAGAGATCGTCAGTAAAGCCATGCAGATAGGAAGTGATTTTCAGCCCTAAGAGGATTTGTTATCAACTATGGCTCTTTTTAAGCTTAAGTAGCATCTGCCTTGTGGATTTTGACCATCCTTTTGATTTGACACAGAAGACGGTTTGTTCCACCTTTAAAAAGCACATGCTCCCCCCTCCACCCCGCCCCTCAGACTCCTGAACAAGTAGATGCTAAAACAAGACTGGGTTGTTTTCTCACTGAAAATCCAGTGTTTATCCAGTCCTTCCCTTTTCAATTTCTGAGTTTAGTTAACCTAACTGGAAAACATAGAACCCTCAAATTTCTCACAGAGCAATAAAAAGCAAAACAGTTGGTTTCTGTCATCAACATTATTTTCAGTACAAATACAAAAAAGCTATGACTCCTAGTCCTTCAAAATATTTACAAACTGTATTTTAAACTATGAGATTCTAGAGTATATTTCTAGAATACAGTAAAAGGGTCAGAAAATGTGGTTCAAGTAGAGTGTGCAAAGCTGGAGAAGGGTAATCTCTAGTGTGGATAAGAGCACAAATGTTCTCTCAAACAAACTGAATGGTTCTCTTTTCCCCCCACTGTGTTTTTTGAAACGCCTAGTGCATTCATACTCAGAAATCATAGAAATCTCCTTATTAGTCCCTTCAAACAGATGTTATAAGCAAGGCTCTTCCTGCATTACACCAGCCCTACCATATATTCATGGTATGTTCATCCTGCCATCAGTTGGGTTATGTAGTAAATATTTGGAATTAGACATCATTACTACGAATTTCCTTTTAGAAAAGCAATTAGATTTTCATAGTTATACAACTCTGAACATTTAAGCTTTTTAAACTTCTACAGAAAATATATGTCTAAGAAAAAAAAATCTCAAAAAAAAAGTAGTATCACAGAGTTTAATTTCAACCACCTGGCATAACAATGAAAGTGTCAGACCTTCTGAAAATGCCCTAGGAATAATGAATGAATTCTTAATGTTTTCCCCTCCACCGCCCTTCTACTTTTTTTTTTTCTTTTCCAAGATTAGAATTTACTAGGGAATAGGTTTTTGAAAATAAAGTTTCTTTTTTGGAAAATGGCCTACATTCAGAAATGTCTTAAAACAAGCATTTTTAAAAAAACTAATAAATAATCATAAATCAAAATACATTAAAATAAAATTACAGTACATCATTGCTCCTAGAAGGTCCACCATACTGGAAGATCCTTTCAAAGGTTCATAAATAAAGCCTTCTGGACTGAAACCGTTTCCCGCATTGTGATGAAGAGTATGCAGAAAACTAAGAGGAATCTCAAGTTATCAATAGGGTGATGTCCAAACTACTTGATCCGGTGCGGGGCGGGGAGACTTTTGCTTTCGATTCAAGTGAAGACAACAGAAAGGTGTTCGTCCCACTTCCTCAAGTCCTCAAAACCTGGAAAGAAATGACAGGCAATTAAGTCATTGGCTCAGAATCCTCCAAAACCCAGCTCTCTTCAGGCCAGTCCGGCGGACAAAGCGCGCTCAGAAAGACACCGGGGTCGCTCCCTCGAGTGTCCACACTCGAGCGGCGCTGGTGACACGAACAGAGCCAGCGGCGTCGCTGGGCGGCGCACCACCGGACCCGCGCGGGCCAGGGTGGGCGGGAGGCGGTCCGAGAGGCTGCCCAGCCTAACCCGAGCTCCTTCATCCTCCCCTCTCTGCCCGGCCTCTCCTACCTCCGGCTTGCTTCCCTTCTTTCTACATCTCCAGAAACTTGGAGTAACTTCTCATTTTCCCCTCCAAGCACCACACCCGTGAATTAGGCTTCCTACTCCTCCCAACAGCCCGCGAGACCTCCTCCTCGGAAAGGCCCTTGGTAGCCCTAGTTGCCGGGACCTTACCTTGTCTGGCCCGGGTGCTGCCCCCTTCAGGCCGAGTTGGAGGTGCTGCGGAGAAGCCTGTGGCCGTGCGGCTGCGAGAGCGGCTGTTGGTGCGAGTGCGGTAGTTGGTGTGGGTGTGGGTGCGGGTGCGGGTGCGGGTGCGGGTGCGGATGCGGGTGCGGATACGGGTGGAGCTGCTGAGGCTGGGGCTGGGGCTTGGCATGGGGCTGCGGCTGAGACTGTGACTGGGGCTGAGGCTGAGCCTGAGGTTGGGGCTGAGGTTGGGGTTGAAGCTGCGGCTGCGGGGGCTGCTGCTGGACCAGGTGCTGCTGCTTCTGCCGTGTGGACTTGACCGCCAGGATAGCCTGACGATTCTTGTACTGCACCATCTGCAGCGTGATCTCGGCGTTCCAGCCCTGGTCCTGCGGGCACCGAAAGTCGATCTCCTTGCCCTCGGCCATCACCACAGTGAAGTACATGTACTTGCCCTTGCGCTCCACGCAGTCCACGGTCTTCATGTTGGAAAAGTGTAATTCCTTGAGCTTGACCGGCGGCTCGAGGCTGGCCACGGCGGGCCCTCCCGGTTGGGACGGTTCGGCCGGCCCCTGCCCAGGCTGTTGCTGCTGCTGGTGTTGCAGCTGCTTGGGCGGGATAAGCAGCAGCCCCTCCTCAGTGAGGATGCAGCACTTTTTCTTCCAGAGCTGCAGCAACCCGTCGCTGCGCTTCTCCAACACACCCTCCTTCAGCGCTTTGCAGCCACTGCTCTCCAACATCCTCCCGGCATAGGGAGGGGCGCCGCTCGGCTCGGCCTCTCCACTTCCAGCCGCCCGGGCCGGGGGCAGCAGCAGCAGCCGCGCGCCGTCCTCGCCCCAGCGGCTCCCGCGGCCGCCCGCCCGGAGCGCGCAGAGGAGGCTAACACGCAGGAAGCAGAGCGGCGGCGGTGGAGGCGGCGGCTCGGGGTCCGGGCAAGCGGGCAGCCGCGTCCTGATGCGCCACAAGGTCCCGGAGCTGCGAGCCTCCGGGCCTCTGCCGTCCTCTTGCGAGCGCTCACTGAAGGCCACTGGCCGGGCCCCCTCGCGGCGCTTTTGAATGGGCCATCCCCCCCACCCCCGAGTGACACCCAGCGGAAAAGGCGGCTCCTGGCGCCCGCACCGCGGGGGAAAGCCCAGCTCGGAAAGGCGCTCTGCCGCCGGCGCACGCCTCATTAACTTGGGGCCTTTCCAAAGCCCGCCGCGTCCACGCCCCCCGCATCCCTCGCTCCGCCTCTCGCCGCCCACTCGCTTCCGTGCTCCTTCCCCGCGCGGGCTGCAAGGGACCTGAGCTCCGGAAACTCCTCTCCTCCGCCTGGGGCGACAGCCGAGAGCGCCCCAGCTGCCCGGCGACAAATGCCGACGCTCAGAGGGCGCCGGGAGGCCATCCCCGGCCGGCAGGCTCTCTACCAGTCTCATTGAGGACGGGGGCTGCGAGGGTGGGTACGGCTACCAGGCAGTGCCTGGAATGCCAAACTGTCTCGCTGTCCTCGGGAAGCAGCCCCGGGGATTCGCGATGTGCTCCGAGACCCTATGTAAACATCTGAGGGCACAAAGGCCGAGAGGACACAGTGTCTACACTCATGTATGCTTCCAGTCATTAGCTCTTCTTGGAGCAGAGAGGGCGATTGTTAAATCAAGGCAAGAGCGCTACCGTCTGTCCCGTTTGGAAGCGCCAGTAGAGAAGGGTGACCCACTTCAGAGGACGTCTCACGTTCCCTTTCTCGACCCCGGAGCTCTGGCACTAGCCTATTTTCACCCGGGACACAAGCTCTCTAGATTCCTTCTTGACCCATCCGCACAGCCTACAACATCTCACAACAGTAACTCAACTGCAGTTACAGATCCCGGGAATGTCCAGCGAGAGACCTCACACTTTAAGGCACAGCTTAGCCCTCCAAACAGCCGAATGGCCTCCGCGGGTCTCTCTTTGGAAACGCCTAACGGGCCAGATCGGTTTTGTAATCTCATTCATCTGTGACCTGGGGAAGGTAATGCTGTACTCGCCCCTAGCTCCCTCCTACTACGCTCGCATCTTAAAAAATTCTGTAGATATTCTGGGAAACAAGGCAGAATCAAGAGCACAAACCGAAACCAAACCTGTTGGTGGGGAAATTCATCCATTAGAGAGCCCTGTGTACCGACCCCGAGAATACGAAGAAACACACGAAGAAGAAATAAACCAGAGTTGGCCGAAGGAAGAGGAAAGACTGCTTCTTGTGCCCAAGAAAGGACTTCGCTCATCTGCTAGTTTACTTTGGCTGAAACAAAGAATTCAACAAGCAAAGAAATGAGCGAGGAGCTTGGGGAGCAAGAGTCAAATCCTTTGTGTCATGCTGAAAAATTCGAACTGAACTCCAAGGTAATTGAAAACACAACTTTTAAACACAGGAGGGTCCTGAATCTTATAAGAAACAATGTCTTAGCAAATGGGACAATTTCAGCACAGTCCTGAATCTGACTGAACTGCACTTGGTAGGCTCTGAGAGCCTTCAAATTGTTAATGAATTAGCTGTTTTTTATGGAGAAAGGCAATTATTAAAATCACATAAAAATTTCTAGTAAGATTGTTTTAAAAAATGAACAATTCTATATACCAGTGACAAACCCTGCACCTAACATCTCAGTTCTTTCGCTGTCTTCGTGGGACAAGTGAGCATTCCAGAGAATTTCTACATGACCAGCTGTTCATCTTTTAACAGAATGCCATTCTTCAGCTTACGTGGAAAGGACAGTGTGCAACTCACTCTGAGGGCACGTGTAGTTGAGAAAGACATTTCATGCGGAAAAATGATACAATACAAACTTGACTGGGTAAAAAACTAAGATGTAATCTTGAAGTGCAAGCCATTTTCTTAAGAGAAAATATGTTCAGTGTTATCTAACCTGCAGTTAATCAAGATGCAGCAGATGCATTCTAAATTAATTCAAAATGTTTTCAGAAACCACAATTTTCAAATTTCAAAAACCAGCACTTATTTTACAACTAGATACTTTCCCACCCGATTTCCACCTGGATATTTCACAATGATTTAATGACTTTGTGAGCAGCTCAGAAGTCAGTCTACAATGTGCCTTCCCTGACCACAGTGCATCCATTATTGGAGATCTCAGGTGTGTAGGAATCTTGTAGTTCAGTGACAACTTTGCTCTTTCAACAGTCACATCCAATTCACAAAAATGGCCATGTTAGCCATGTTTTAAAAAGACAATGAAAAAAAATCACAAAAAAATAACTGTTCTGCCCAAAATACCACACACCTTTAGCTGTAGATATAATGAAACCCTACAAAATGTCACAAGTTACTAAAGTTTCAAAAACAAACTAATGAAATCACTGCTTTGGTAAACCAGTTTGAAAAGGCGGATTCGAATTGCATATTACAGCTGTCTGCATCACATTGTGTATCAGCAGCATCTCACAGTTGATTAGCTTCCCCTCTTGGAAACAGGTCTTCACTTGGCTTCAAGGACATAGCTCTTAATTTTCCTTCTACCTCCCCAATCACTCTCAGTATCCTCTACAGGTTCCTCCTCTTCCCCCCATCTTTTAGTATTAGAATGCCCCAGAGAGCTGTCCTCAGTTCTCCTCTTGTTGGTCTCATCCAGTCTCATTTTTAGGAAAATGCCAGACTCCCCAATTTACATCCAACTTCTTGTTGACAAAGAATAAAACAAAGGCTACCACATTTAAGAAATAATATTAACATGCCAGGCAAGAGAACACATACTGGTGAAGATATTCATGGAGTAATTCACTAGAGGGAAGAGTCTAAGGGGATTTTAGGCTGTGGAACATAGGGTTCCTAGAGCTTTTGCTAATAAAAAATTGAAAAATAGCATTCTGGATAGGATGGAGTCCCTGGATGGAACTGGTTCAATAAGGATCTGGAGTTAAAAGCCATGTTTTTTATGTTTTGGTTTTTTAAATAGTTTTTTAGTTTTAACAGCCTTCAGTTTTGTTATGTTCAGGCCAGGGTTACTGAAGGTTGAACATTTTTTTACTCTTCTCTACAGTACTATTTGGATATCTAATAAAGAACTCAAATATTATGTGCTCCCAAACATCTCTTCACCCTGATCTACTTTACCTGCAACCCCTTCTCAGTTGATGGCAATTTCACCTGTATAGTTACTCAGGCCAAGAACCTTGGAGCAGTATTGCTCTTAAAACAAGAGGCCCTTATCCAGAGCCTTGAGCTTTAGGTTAAAATGACATACCTATTTAGAGTTCATACTCATTCCAGACCAACTCTAGGTACTCAGGATTCCAAATACCCTGCCTAAATGTGTTCAACTGTTCAAGGAATGCATTACATCAGTGTGTGCACTAGTGTATAAGGGGGGGGGGTGGTGGACAGATTTTGAACATGCAAGCTACGATATCCATATAGATGGGCAGGAGGTCCCCCTCGCCATACAATTCAGAGACAGGGATAGGAAGAGAAGGACAGGCTGAGGATCAGCTCTCCTCCTAAGTAATGATCTGGCACTGGACTTTAAATCTGGCTTTTCAGGTGCCTATGAAGATGTCATTTGTCAAGACAGATGCACCGAACGTATTTCCATTTAACAAAGCTTTAAAATATTTAACCATTTGTGTCTCCATTGTGTTCTTGCCCCAGGACTGCAAACTTAGCATACCTGCCCTGTAGTATATCCTTTACTCCTTTCTCTTGATATCCAATCCACAAATTGAGCCAGGAAATTCCATCAATTAAGTCTTCAAACTATATATTCTCTCTCCAATTCTTTCATTACCATCCTGATCCAAATCACATGAATTACTGCAATGGACTCCTTCCTAACTTGCCTAATTCTACCCTTGTCTTACAATCTAATTTCAATACAGCAGTCAGGGTCATCCCACTTTCTCCAAGTCTGCTCAAAAGTCATCTCAATGAGGCCTATCCTAATCACTCTAAAATTGCAACCACCCCATTCCCTTTAATTTTCCCCATAGTATTATCTCCTAGCAGCTACTGAATAATTTATTATGCCTGTAATTTCAGTTCATCTTCAAGAGGGAGGGCAAGGACCATTATTTTGATGTGTCCCAATCACTTTGTACAATTCTTGGCACATAGGAGTAACTCAATATATGTAGAAACTTAAACTGAATCAGAAGCCTGTTATCTGTCATAAAAAGAAAATCAATGTGTTCAAAGGCTTTTGATAGATTTTTCACAACACATCCTTTCAAAAACTTTCAAAATGTAAGGGACTTTATGAAAGAACTCCCCAAACTTGCCATGCCAACATGTATTTGGTATAATCTTTTAGGAATACTACACATGCTAGGCCTCTCTCTAGATCTTAAATGCTATATCCTATAGATGCTATCTAAAATAAGTCCTATGAACTTTTCTGAGCAACATGCAATCTAATATTATGAGAGGTATTTATACAAACTATCATCCTATTGGTTTTTAGTTAAGAGTAATCAAAAAAATGGAGAAACAAAAATGGAACAGTTGATAGCAGTTTCTACTTGGCAAATAGCCAAATACTTGTTTAAAAAGTCCACTAATCAATACTGGCCTAAAAACATTTTACTTAAAAGAGTTGGTAGTTTATTAAGAACTGTTTACTTTCATTTATAACTTGATTATAAGATTTAAAAATCTATGAACTCCCTAATCTGCAATACACAGAAGACTCTCACAGCAATGTATTATTAAAACACTGGGATACAACAAGGTTCAAATAGATTTCAAAAAATAGCTAAAACCCCGGTGATCTATGAAAATGTTTGGTCACTCTCACGAGCACACAAAGGTCCACATTCACTCAGCAATTTAGATTTTTCAGTCATTCAGTTCATTTTAAAATACTATTCAGCAGAAATACTTTATGAAGATTCTAATCTCCAAAATGCCTGGTTGAAAAGGTTAAATACTAACTCAATTAGATACAGAACTATCCAGACTTCTTAGGTTCATCTGCCTAGCTGCCTTTTTCACAGCACTAGTTGATGAAGTGATGCCTCCTAGTGATCAATTTGTATAACACAGCTTACAACAAGTCAGAATAGCATAGGCTGTTTGCTGCTCTCTAGTCTCTATTCATGGGTTAAAACAATTACAACCCATCTGTAGCTGCCAATCAGCTACGTCTCTGTCCTTTCTGCCAATAGCCTAACTCAGGTTTTTTCTCTCATCTACTCTTCTAATAGG